TAGTTTAATGCTGAAAAACGATTATCAAAAAATCAGATTTAAATTAAATTATTGGTAGACGTGCTCTAGAATTAGAGAATTAGTTACACTGAGAAACCACAGATGTAATATTATAAACTTGATGTTTTCATGTCGTGCACCTCTAATAGCAGACAAATATTAATTGCAAAGCTTCTCGTTTGAAAAGCTAACAGGGATTGAAATAGAATTTTTTCCCTGCATGCACAGTGTGCATGTTGAATTTGAAATTTACCTGCACTAACTTGTTGTGAAATGCACCACTTTTAAAGTTTAAATAAAATTTATCGATTGATGATTGATTTTTTAGTTGTCTTACAATGTTGGTTGAACTTAATTTAGGCTTAGTGAATATAATGAAAAAATTTTGTGTCAATTTCTACATGCACAGCGTGCACATTATATTTTGAGTTTACTTGCACTAGCTAATAATCTATGTGCATAGTGCAGTGTGCACCAGAGTATTTCGACCCCTGTTAGGCTAATCATAAATTTTGAATTAAATTGGAATATGTCTCCAGCACATGGGAATTCTTTCTTTGATTACTGATTACTAATAATTGTAGACTTGTCTCATTACAAATTCCTATCTTCCTATTTCGCAAGTTTCATTCATGGAAGTTGCTACAACAATGTGTCTATAAAAATAATTTGTTGCAAAAAAACGCAATCTGAAAAAAACAAACAATTTAATCAAATATGTCTGGCTTCCATTGAGATTTCTGTGTACCGTAGCTTGGCTTTAATTAATACCTGGTAATTACATCTTTATTGATTAATAACACAACTCTGAAGTACTCAACAAAGATAAGATTGTTGGGAGGTATTAGTCTAACCCCATAAGTAGCTTGTAATTATTCTGAAGCTCCTTAAGTAGCTTATAATTATTTCCAAAGCTGCATATCTGTTTTACCTATACAACCAACCATAAAAACATTCCATCATGATGCCCTTGCTTACAACCCTGAATCATTTCCTTGTTAAAAAAAATTTGTAAAATTTATTTTGCATAATTAACTGATGTATTTAAGTCTTAATATAGTGAAGTCACATATCCAGCATTCTTCAACCGTCAGGGGTATGTCTCGTCGACTGTCTGTTGGATTATTTCTGTGATATGGATATGGAAATGAATAAAGGCAGTCTACATACTCAGAATAGTTTGTCATAGTTAGGACAGAGTAGTGTAATTTTATGTTATGCATTATCTCCAGTGCTGAATTTTAGTGTTTCAAGTACTGTAATATAAAGTATTTTAACTGGGATCAATTTTCGCTGAAAAGAATTTTCTGGTATTTTGTATAGAATTTATTTTCACTGATTGGAGTTGAATGTAAAATTTAAAAAAAAGGTATATTTACTGGATTTTATTTTAACTGAATCATTCCTTCAGCAAAAATAAAGTAATTGACAGTAACAGATTGACACTGAGAAATGTTGTGATATTATTTTTTTTTAAACCACATTCAATAAGGTGTATTGAAATAGAAAATATGTGAAATTTAAATAATTGTTTCTCAGATTGCTCAGTTTCACTTAGAAATCATGAAACCTGATTGAAAGAATTTCACGAAAATAAGGCTGTGAGGCGCACCCTTGATTTGTGTTCATTGGCGAGTATTATCGGCTAATTTGCATAATTACGTCAAATATCGTTCACAATAGTGGTAGTTGACTCATTTAGGGCAGTTAGTTTTTTTAGATCCTTGTACTGTGAATAAGATCTATTTGTATTAGTGCAGTGACATCAAAACCAAATCGCTACAGACAGTCAAATATGAGCTTCTCAATTTGAAAACAGCCAGAATCTACAAACAACGTGTATGTGCTCATTGGGTCCGAAAATCAAACACCTACATGTTTTAGTGGACATCTATGAAAGTAGTACCATTGTGTTGCATCGACCAATCAACGACAAGCCATAAGATCACATGACAAAAAAAAAATGCCCTTCAAAAGAATAATTAAAAAAAATTAAAACAAAAAAAACAGTGTTTAATGGTCAAACTCTAAGATCTTCTTCTCCTATTTTATGTACCATAATACTTGAAAACAAATGGTGTAACATTTCTTCATATTTTTTGGGGCTAATTTTTGACTAAATGAGCATAATTTCGTTATGATTACCGCTCCTGATTAGCATTTTTAAAGAATATCGGTAATATAGTTTGATTATAAATGTTAACTTGGGAATTCAAAGTGTTAAGTTGGATGGCACTACATTACACGTGAAATCTGTGTAATATGTTGAGTCTGGATAGTAAACAATGTCTCTGGCCACATTGATCTATGATTGGAAATATTCTATGCTGTCATGAATGTGTTTTAGATCAATATCGATGTCAGTATGTGTGTCACCGATGACATCATTATTACGGGTCATCTCCAACTATTTAGTAAATATTCCAGTGTCCTTATTAGCTCGCAGGTTGTCTTTTCACCGATTTCTAATCTAGCAAATTTATTTTATTCTTAAAATAAACTTGTATTTGGTACTTTATCCAAATTAAGTCTGACATTGAAACCTAAATTGTGTAGTGAAGGCACATATGTCCAAGTAATTTATTTTTTGTTTGGATAGTATAAAATTAATTTTGGACAGAATAAATTATTTTTCTCTGCATTTGAATGATAATTTCAAACACGGCCTAGATTATTGGACATTGTACCAACCAGCTGGCTATGTCCCACAGAATATGTTTATTAAGTACATTTATTTTGTATGTTTTTATTATAAGTTTGTTTTTAAATGGGCAAATGTTTTTTTTCAATTAGGATAATTTTACACTATTACTGTATTTTTTCCTTTGGAGCCGCATCTTCAATAGAAGCCAAAAATCACATTTGTTGTATACTAAATCATTGAAATATTACTTACTGTAGAATACTTTTTTTTCGCTTGGAATTTATTTTCGCTATTTTCGCTGAAGGGATGATTCCGTGAAAATAAAATCCAGCGAATATATTTTTTTTCTTATATTTCACATAAACTTGTTAAAACTCAGTGAAAATAAATTCCAAGCAAAACGCCCAAAAAGCCTTTTCAGCGAAAATTCATTCCAGGGAAAATAAAGTATTCCACAGTATTTTGATCACCTCTGTATTTTATGTATGCACATGCACTACTAATAGGACAAATATACTACTGTAGAATACTTTATTTTCGCTTGGAATTTATTTTCGCTATTTTCGCTGAAGGGATGTATTGGTGAAAATAAAATCCAGCGAATATACTTTTTTTCCTATATTTTACATTAAACTCATCAAAAATCAGTGAAAATAAATTCCACACAAAACACCCAAAAAGCCTTTTCAGCGAAAATTAATTCCAGCTAAAATAAAGTATTCCACAGTATTAATCTTTTTTTAGCTCTGCTGTCGACTTTGTCGAGCGGAGCTTATCATATGAGTTATTGTCCGTCGTCGTCCGTGTCAATGTTTTACTTTTTCGACTTCTTCTTGAAAACTACAAGCCTGAATGCTTTGATACTTGGTGTATATGTACCTTGGGTAGACCTCTCTTAGGTTTGTTCATTTCATGTTGATATCTTCAATTCTCTAATTTTGGTGAATATTTTTGTCATTTTTGGTAAAAAGTGATATTTTCGACTTCTTGTTAAAAACCGCAAGTGCAATTGCTTTGATATTACATATATAGGTACTACATGTGGACCTCTCTCAGATTTGTTCATTTTGTAATGATATCTTTAATTCTCTAATTTTGGTGAATATTTTTGTCATTTTTGGTAAAAAGTGATATTTTCGACTTCTTGTTAAAAACCTCAAGTGCAATTGCTTTGATATTACATATATAGGTACTACATGTGGACCTCTCTCAGAATTGTTCATTTTGTAATGATATCTTTAATTCTCTAATTTTGGTGAATATTTTTATCATTTTTGGTAAAAAGTGATATTTTCGACTTCTTGTTAAAAACCACAAGTCCGATTGCTTTGATATTACATATATAGGTACTACATGTGGACCTCTCTCAG